ATATGATTAAAATCTTAGTATAAAAAGTAATAAGTATTAATTTACATAGATGTCAATAATCTGTGAGCCAAAATACCGATAAGTTTCATATTAGAATCTGTCGGAAACCTGCATTGAATGTTCAACCCTGATGTGTTTGATTATGTCGGAGGCGGCACGCAACGTGCGCGCACATGTTGCGGCAACGTCGCAACGGTCTAACCACGTGCGCGCGCGAAAGGGACCGTCATGTGTTTCCTTGGTCCGTCTTCCGCTTATCTCGCAGTCGAGTCGTCTCGACGCGCGATGAACTTGCGTGTTTTTACGCAGGCCATATTCATGTATCTGTATCGCACTCTGTGGTAGTGGTAAAATTAAGCCAAGTGGAGAGTGTTTATAGTGAGAGATCTAGCGTTGATTTTTTAATTGAATTATATATCGCGGTCGGTATGTTTACATTGAATTTCAATTCTAATTAGCAATATCAAATCGATAATTGGCTGAAATTTACCGATAGATTAATTAGGAATTTATTTTGAAGATATCAGATGGAATTTGCGTTGATTCATTTTGTTGATCGTTGATAAAGCCGTTTCTTCGTAATCTACGTATAGTTGAAAAAGTTTTTGCATTCCAATACTGTTCGGAAGATGTCTATTTATTAAAGTAGGCAAATTTTATTTACAATAAGCAAAAATTGTTTGATCGTAATTAACACGTTAAGGGGCACAACTAGTGTAACCGCCTAAAAAAAAAGTGATTTTTGGGAATTTATATTGAAAAAACTACTTTATCAATCATTTCAAAATTTTAGGAATATATTTATACATGTTTTAAGAATACATAGTAAAATTTTTGAAAAAAAAATTTTAATATTTTTTTAAGTTATCGTCGATCTCCAACGGCGCGACAAAAAAGGCCCTTCACTGCTGCAGTGATTCCGGCCTTCTACGTGGATGAAATTTAAAAAAAAAAAATTCTCGTTAAAATAGATAATATTGTCTGTAAAATAAACTACGATAAAGAAAAAAAATCAAAAATGGACAAAATGACGGCGTTTTTTTAAAAAAAAGTCGAATTTGACCCAAAATTTTGGTCGTTTTTGGACTGCCAAAATTCGATTTTTGATCCGATCAAAAAATCGATAGTTCATTTGACGGAGAACTATATATAGAACATGTAAAAAAAAATTGATAGTGATCGGATAATTTGTTTTTGAGTAATCACTGCAGCAAATTTGGAAAATGCTGTTTCGAGAAAAACGCGTTTAAAGATTAAATGATCGTTATACTATATACTATATGTATACTCTTTAAATGGCTGTGACTCAAAAACTATTTAAGATATCGATTTAAAATTTTGATATGTTATTTTTAAGGTATAACCTATCGAAATATGGAAAAATTGAAAATTCGATTTTTTGAAAATTTCACACTAGTTGTGCCCCTTAATGATGATGCCAGTCTTATGTGTCAAAGTTCTACATGAGCAATGTTGGACAAATATGTTTGACATAAAAAATAATGTTTCTCTACGAATTTTTCCAAAAAAAAATTTCTTTGACACATTAAATTTTCTTGGTGCATTTTTAACTGAATTATTATGCGATTTTTTTTCTGATATTATCGTGGTGGTCAACGTGTTAATAATTAAAATGTTTTGTTCCAGGTTTATATATTTTAGATTCCAATAATTCAAAATCTTTTTTAACCAATTTCATTAGTTTTGTGAATGGATTGGACGAGTTATTTTTTTATAGTTCATAATTAAATATTTAATTTTTAATTTCCTGGAAACATTCTCAGCACATTTTAAAATATCAGATTTCAATTATTCAAAATCACTCGAATAAAATAAAACACCGAAGAAATGTGCTTTACTCTGTTTTAGTGTTTTCCGCACTCAACAGATGGTCTTCTATGCTCAAATTCATGACTCATTGTAATATTTTTTCATTTTATAAATTTGTGATTTGATTTAATTGAAAATATATTTTATACGCGTATATTTTGTTTTAATTTAAGTTAATCAGGCGGTAAAATTCATATGAATCGAAATTCGCTAGTGGAAGGGTTAAATCTAGGGGTAAATTTACGCACTACAGTTAGTGGCGCTCCTATGGAGTGCGGAAACAATTAATATTGAAGTAATGGAAATGCGGACGTGTTTGCGATTCCTTTATACTGCTTTTATCTGTGAAATAACGATAATTTGAATTTTTATATAATATAAATGCGGATTTATTTCATTTTGAATGGAAGTTAAAAATTTAATTTATTGCATTATTCAATTATTACAAACCGATTTCTGAATTACTAATTTGATCCGATATAAATCTAACGAATAGTAACTTTATAATAATTCTTGGTGCAATTTTAATAATTAAGAAAAAAGATGTTTTAGAAAACTAACAAACTTTCCCCTAACCCTAAATTTTAGTTGATTACTTAAAATAGGTCATCTGTAACTAAATATTTTGCAAGAGTATAACCGATATCGATGAAATAATCTTTTTACCAGACTCCTCACTACTTGTGTGCCGCGAGCGTGTTCAGCGTTCAGCGTTCGCCAATTCGCCTTTCCTTTGCTTTGTTCACTACTACTTCACTTGGTACGGTTAACGACTAGACCGAATCATCATATGATCCGGTGTATGAACATCGCGCGAAGGCACGTGGCCTTTGACATCTGCGCGCGCGCTATGTTTTGGTGATGTCCATTTGACGCTGTAGCACGTGGTCGTCAAGGGCAGCCATGTTTGTTGTGATTGTTGGTTTTTAGAAGTGGATTAATTGTATGTTTTATTATATGCTGATTGTTGTGTTTATTGTATTGAAACTGTTTATTATAATAAGTTGATATTAATAATTATTTCGAATTAATTAATAAGTATTTGGTTTCCTTTTCTGGGATTTTTTTTATTGTTATTACCACATTTTAGAATATTTTGTTTTTATAATTAAAACAAAATTAATTTAAATAAATTGTTGACGATTTTAATCTATATTGAATATTTAATTTTCTGAATCACGAAAGATTTATTTGTACGGCATAAATGTAAGTTGTTTTTGGATTTTTTACTATTATTTTTAATAATTATATCATTAATAAAAAAAGATTAAATTTTATTTTATCTATTCTCTAATAATTTTATCGACGTCTTTTTTATCTAAATATTATTTGATCGATATTATACACCGATTGTTGAATTGATTTCATAAATTAAAAAATGCATGTCGCATTTGTTAACTTACCAGAGGAGAGGTTTGTTTCGCGAATAAGTCTGATTTGAAATTGAATTGTATGTTTCTTCGATGTTTCATGGCTTCATGAATATAAAGAGGCCAAATATAAAAAAGTATGTGTGTTTAAGCCAATTTTTGACCCTTCGTCGACGTTTTCTCAAAAATGAAAATTTAAAAGCCTTTCGATATAACTCGATAACGGGGCGTCCATTAATCACGTGAGGTTTTTAGGGGGAGGGGGGGGTTTGACAAAAAATCACGAAATATCACGTGGGGGAGGGAGGGGTATAGCAAGATATCATGTGTATTTATTTTTTTACTATTTTTTATAAAAAAAGTTCAAACATTTAAAAAAAAATCAAAAATTTTACAGTTTTTTCACGCAACTGAAAATACACGTGATGTTTGGTGGGGGTAATTTTGAATATCACCAAACATCACCAAGGGGGAGTGGGGGTCTAAAAATCCTTAAAAACTCGCTCACGTAATTAATAGACGCCCCCTAAGGTTTAGGATCGATTAGTTTTGCGCGACAATCGACCAAAAGTATAATATCAAAAATTCAAAATCTGTTCAAAAGATATTGATTGGGAATCGCTTTGATTAGTTTTTGGTAAAGATCGGCCGAGCCGTTTCTACATAATTAAATGTTGAAATTTGTTTTTTTTTTTGACAATTTTGATGAAACTTTGTATAGGAATGGATTTTATAGTCTGATATAACATACTAAAATATTATAAGTCAAAAAATTCATCAAAGTTTGAATTTCTTCGTGCGTTCTAGCGATTCTAATCAGAATCTATGCCGAAGCATCTGTACCTTCTGTGGTGTTTAAAATATTTAAATAAAATAAATTTTTGAACACGAAAAGGATGAAATGAAATATGTTAAACAAATTTTTAATTTAAATTATTATATATTTTTTTGTTATAATTTATTTTTGTTAATCAAGACTTTGTTATCTTATTTACAATATTGATAAGTACAAAAAGGAATGATACAAAAAAATACAATAAATTCAATATAAAACGAAACAAAGTTAAAATAAAATAAAATAATAACAGTAATATAAATATAATAATATAAATGATTTGTATGCTGGATTAATTTATTGTTGAAAGATGAACTTCTAATTTTGATCATTTCGTTGAATGTAGAGAGTTTCAAATCCTTATGTAGGCAAAAGTTCGAAATATATCAAAGCGCATTAGCGAAGAATTGTGTTCTGGGACCTTCGAATAATGTTTATGTTTGATTTACAAGAGCAACCCCATAGTTCGATTCCATAAGTCCAAATGGGCTCTATTATAGCTTTGTACAGAAGTAGTTTGTTGTCTAGAAAAATTTCGGATTTCCTCCCAAAAAGCCAGTAAAAATCTTTTATTTTCAGTTGAATTTGTTTCTTTTTATTTTCAATCTGTGTTCTCCATGTTAATTTGGAATCGATGTGCACGCCTAAATATTTAATAGTGTTGCATAGTATATAATTATATGTATCATAAAAAAGTTTCAAAGATATAAATTGAAAATCGTTTTCAATGAAGCGAAATATTTATTTTCGAAATAAAGAGTTAAACAAAATACACTTAATAGCTGAATCTCAATTCTTATTGATTATGTTGATTATGTTGATACGTATCGGGAAGTTTATGCTTTAAAGTTAAATGCTACTTCCAACTAATTTATTTATTTATTGAGCAATGTCATTTCCTTGATATTGTTTAACAAAACTTTTAACCCAAATTATTTTATCTAACCTTATTGTTTTTGTTCTAGATGTCCGCCGGTTCGCAACTGCAGATGGCGCCTCAAGCGACTGCACACACGGGACAACAGACGGTCCATAGTCAGGACTCTAACATGAGCACCGGTAAGTTAGATATTCGTAAAATATTACAATATCAAATGAATGTTTCTACAATATACGTCATCTACAATAATTTATGGACTTTTTAAGGGAAATATTTGGTAGATTATAAAAGATTTTGTCAAAAAGTGGAAAATACAACTTGTTGCAAAATACAGAATTTTAAGATGTTCTTAATATTGAGTTTTTTCTGAATTGGTAGTTTATGCCTACGTTTTAGGCAAATTAGGCAAGCATTCTGTGGTATAAACAAATATCAAATGAATAAAATTTTTACTTCAAAAATCTATATGAAAATGGCAAATTTGAATACTGGTTTAAACAGTATTTAAGAAAATAATAATTCAAACTATTTTTTTTAAATTCTCACTTTTATCAGAACTATCATTAATATCATATGATAACCCAATGGTTAACTCATCTATATTTTGTGCGATTTATTGTATATGAGTGGAATGAACACTTTTAAATGAGAGTATGTAATGTCGTTATAAAAAATCTAAAGTATCGATTTGATATAAAAGATAATTTATTTTTTCCTGTATTTAATATTATGTGCGAGTAAAATTTTTTGTGTTATTAAGGAACCTGAAGCTACGTGAATGGTTTAGATTTTTACGTTTGTCGATGAAATTCTTTCACCAAATAGTTTAAATATTTTATATTAATAAAGCTTATGTCTTCAACGTGAAATACTTTTAATATTATCATATACAATTGAAATCTCTACAAATACGCAATAATGATATACTTGTCTAAATACTTTTTTTAGACTTCAAATGACACTTTTGATGATCTATATACCAAATGGACTGTGATTATTGAAAATACGAATTGGGCGTTATTTTTAAATCGCCACAAGTTTAAGCCAACCTCACAAAAACGTGATGTATCTTTACATACATACTTACACTCTTTTTTTTTCAAAAGTAATAGAAACTGTTATTCAAATCATTACACTTTTACACTTCTACACATATAGAATGGTCATAAAAAAATTTTATATTTTTTTAGAAGAATGAATAAATCGACATTTATTCTATAAAATAATTATAATGCTTAAAAAATATAATATTGTAGTATATTATAGTAGTATATAGTATATCAGTAATATTTTATAAAGAATAAATAATATATATTTTTATACGATGGGAGTTTATACTTTCTCATATTTATTACTACTTCCCACACTTATATTATGGATTCTGTATGCATATAAAAACTAGATTTTTTCTTAGTTTTCTTGAATTTTATGTAACGAGACATATTTTGCGAGTGAAAATATTAAAGAACGAAAGAAAGTAAAGTTATAAAAAATAATTTTAATCATTTTAAATGAATACAAGACATTTCTATAGAGTTTGTGCGGGATGGCAAATGATGAATGGGATAAACCAGAAATTATTATTTGATTTCGTTTTTACCAATTATTTTAGAAAATTCTAGAAATTATATTGTAAATATTAACATTATTTAACTCAGTATTTGGGAGCAAATTGAAAATGCACATCACTGGTGAATACAACAAAGATACAAACTTTTGCATATCATAACTATTATTATGTATGATTATATAAAATTATCAAATAACGTAATAAACAACGTTAATCTTATCTATACTGCTACAGAACATCAAATTAAATTCAATTAATAAAAACAAATATTAAATGGAATGAAATTTTCTAGAAAGCACTGCAAAGTAAGTTGACACATTATAAATATTATAAAAATATATAAATATATTTTATATAGAAATAAACTCAATAGCAAGATTTATTCCAAGTTTTATACCGTTAATGTAATTGAATAAACTTGTTAGGTTTTTCTAATATTTATAAAATGTAAGAAGTGTATAGTATTTTCTCTTGTGTGTTAAAGCTGGCTTGCTGTCGGTGGTTCTGTAATGCAACTTATCAATGTCTAGTAATATAAGTAAAGAGGTCAAAAACCTAAGTTGAACTTTGCGTTTTTGTTAAAATATTTTGTTAGAAGATATGAATTTGAACACACAGCAGATGTAAATTTCGTGTTTTTTTTTTCAATTTAAAAATTACAATTTAAAAAGTTACAATTTAAAAAGTTACAATTTAAAAAGTTACAATTTAAAAAGTTTCAATTTAAAAGCTACACAATAGTTTGATTTTAATATTATTTCAGTTATGTCATTATAACTATATTTCTTCGAGATTTCGGATGGTCACGTCTTTCTTTTTGAAAAAGTTCTTAAATTTTTGAGAGATTATTGCTTTTTGTTATTTGTTCTGAATTTAAATTTTAGCTTCTTAAATCTTAATTTAAAGATATAGAATGTGCGTCTGGTTTGAAATCTTCGAGCACCCAATAAAAAATATTTTATATATAATACAATGTGTATGTGTGTTTAAGGTATATTTAAAACTACTAAGCATGATATTATGTATGATATTTTCAAAATGACTTGAATCTACTATGAATGAACTTAGTCTATTTGAGGCTTTACCGAATTCTAATAATCAATGTTACGTGAATCGCTGTGAATTATAATTGCAATATTATCGATTTTTTTTTGTTAAATATGTTCGAATTACAATCATTCTGATAAGATAATCTACGAATGACGTTAGTATGTTATTCAAACTCGACAAAAAGCACAAAAAGTCATGGAATTTTTTGTAACACCTATAAATAACTATGTTCAGGCAATGAACATGTACATACTTGTATGTTCAAGGATGAAGCTTTTTTTTTCTAAGCTCAGGTACCAGGGTTTCTAATACATCCTACTTTCTACTCAATTCTATAACTAGTTTGAGGGAATTAGTTAGTTATGGTCCAGATAATTTTTTAAGAATTTTTTTTCCTTATCAGGCGTTTCTAAACTGTGCAGTAGCTTGAAATTCTATTCTATGTGCAAAGCTTTAAAGGCTTCTTTTTGTTCCATATTGATAGAAATATAAACGGGGTGCAATATTTGGTTGCTTGCTCATGAATACATTCTTGTATGTTTAAGGATGAAGCTTTTTTTTTACTAAGCTCAGTTACCAGCGTTTCTTATTTCCTACTTTATACTAAAATCAAATAACTAGTTTGAGGGAATTAGTTAGTTATGGCCAAGATTATTTTTTAAGAGTTTTTGTCCTTATCAGGGGTTTCCAAACTGTGCAGCAGCTTGAAATTCTATTCTATGTGCAAAGCTTTAAAGACTTCTTTTTGTTCTATATTGAGAGAAAAAAACGGGGTCAATATTTTGTATGCTTGCTCATGATACATACTTGTATGTTCAAGGATGAGCTTTTTTTTTTACTAAGTTCAGATACAAGCTTTTCTAATATTTCCTACTTTCTACTCAAATCAAATAACTAGTTTGAGGGAATTAGTTATGGCCAAGATTATTTTTTAAGAATTTTTGTCCTTATCAGGGGTTTCCAAACTGTGCAGCAGCTTGAAATTCTATTCTATGTGCAAAGCTTTAAAAACTTCTTTTTGTTCTATATTGATAGAAATAAGAACGGGGAAGAAAATATTGCATATTTTGTTTGCTTGCTCATGATGCACACTTGTATGTTCAAGGATGAACCTTTTTTTTTAAGCTTAGAAACCAGCGTTTCTAACACTTCATACTTTGTACTCAAATCTAAAATTAATTTGAGGGAATTATCGTCAAGATATTTTTTAAGAATTTTTGTTCTTATCGGAAATTCTATTCTATGTGCAAAGCTTTAGACTTCTTTTTGTTAGATTTTGTTAGACTTCTATATTGAGAAAAAAAACGGGGTCAATGTTTTGTTTGCTTGCTCATGATACATATTTGGATGTTCAAGGATGAAGCTTTTTTTTACTAAGCTCAAGTACCAGCGTTTTTGATAGTTCCTACTCTACTCAAATCTATAACTTAATATGACTATGACAAGATTATTTCTTAAGAATTTTTGTCCTTATCAGTGGTTTCTATAACTGTGCTGCAGCTTGAAATTCGATTCTATGTGCAAAGTTTTAAAGACTTTGTTCTATATTGATAGAAATAAAAATAGAATGCAATATTTTGTTCGCTTGCTCGTTATCCTAATTATTTCTAATTTTTCTTATGGTATCGTGAAATAACATGAGGGCATATTCGATATTAGCATCGAGAAGTAGCATTATTGAATTTGGGTGGATTCCACGGATGTGCTGTTCTGCAGATATGTGCGTATATCCTTTCGGTAGATATATTGTTGAAAATATATACATATAGAATGATGTAGGTTGTTGCTATGCGAACTTTGTGCATATGTATGTATGTATGTATGTAAAGCTGTATATTGCATATGTTGGAAAATGTGTTCACGTATGTGTGCAATGCAGTTGAGGATGAGTATGAAGAACTCACACAGAGAGCGCCTGTCGCAGATTTGTGTGTGGGTATGATCGGAGAGAGCCTTCCATTCCGCGGGCTGTGCTATAAGGGAAGCAAAACTATACCGCACCATCCATCGGCGGGTGTACGCTGTGTACAGTGGGTACATACACGAACTACAATCGATTTCGTCAGTCAGTTGCACTAGTAAAACACTTCTCTACCTGTACGGTTGCGGATACCGTTTACGGTCTGCACCTTATCAAAAATATTTCTACATGTGCATATATTACATCATTATAACACGAATAAATAACCATTTATAAATGCACGCATACAACCTTGGACATTGAATGTGTGTATAGATTTCGCGTTTGTGCTGTGCTCTAGCGATGTTGTCAAGTCGCATTTCTACTGGACGTCGACCGTTTGTCGAAGTTTTTGTCAACTCGGCTGCAGTTATACGTTTGGCTATTATGACGGATGATCTACGTATTAAAATCATTCAGTGTCAATTATAGGCGTGATGTGGTTGCTGGTTTCGATTGATATTTTGAAAATATAAGAAACCCGTTCGGCGATGCAGTATTTTTTGACAAGTTGTAATTCGCAAGCTGTTGTCGCTGTGGATTGTAAGTATATAGCATAAGCCTCCGTATGTATGGGTTCATGTCACTTGAGTGGCGTTTTAAATGTGTGTTTGTATGTAGCTATAGTGTAGGCTTCGTCTTTGCGAATAGAGAATTCGCGATCGATTACATATGGAACGCTTTCTTAACCTCTTCCTCGTCCCAATGATATAAAGGACATCGGTTCGTATATTATAACGCAGACTCCATCTAATGCGACTTCTAAGTCGTATGTTTGGGAATCTGTTTGTTCAAACAGTAAAAATGTATATGCGCAGTTAGTTTTGTGGCTTTGTACCAGTAGGAGTGACACCCGTCTATATCTATGCATCTTCATCTAAATGCACGAAAATCACGGTTTTTTGTTATTCCCTTTAGAAACCATTTGAAAAATCTTTCATGAAAAGTATTCATTCCCCGATAATGCACATATGTGTATCCCGTGAATCACCATTAAACTATTTATACGCGGCTCAATAATTTTCACTTATAGGAAATATTTTCGTTATCAGAACAAATTACTTTTTCTTGTTTTAGTTCAAAATATAACAAGCGGAAATGGTTTGCGTTTCGTTTTTTCGAATATTTATTAATAATATTGCAATCATATTACATAAACTAATAAATGTTTAAAAAATTCAATGGGATATTCTTTAAACAATTCAATTAATAGCTAAATCTATATGTAAATAAATAAAAACAAAGAAATAGAACTGACGCCGATAATCCTTGCTATAAGAATTCTGTATAACATCATAGTATCGTCGTATTGTAATATAAATATTACAATTATATATAATATACATGGCAACATACAATAAAGAACAATTATTCAGTGCTAGGAGCATAAATGTATGCGATCTGTACGCGCGGATTGAAGTTTCCACTGAATGAAGGCCGAAACGTACATATTTGAAAACAACTTCGAAAAAATTATATTTTATATACACACACACACACACACACACACATATATATATATATATATATATATATATATATATATATATTACATTCCAGCTTTATATTTTAAAAACCACATTGCTGACAATTGAATTTGTGTTGTTTTTAAATTATTCTTATCTGCGGCTAATATATCATTCGAGTCCACATTCAATTGTAATTTGAATAACATTTTGATAACGATCCTAGTGAAGGTCTCGAAATTATAAATTATGTCGTCAATGATTCGAAAAAAAAACATTTTCTTAGTCGGATGATTAACCTTTGCTCGCATAAAAGTACTTAAAAATGATAAATATTGCTTATATATAATTACAAATTATATTTTGCCTAATAAAATTAATTTGAGCTTTTTTCATGATTTGTATTAGTCAATTAAATGGATATTCACCTCAATTATAATAACATGAATATTTAAAGTATTACTTTTTTCATAAAGCAAATTCAATATAAACGAGTCATGAATTCCATGCATTGGCAAGAACATTTTTTGGTTGAATATCTTGCAGAAACACTGACATTTTATCAAAATTAAATATATTATTGTTTTTTTATGCAAATACATAAAGTACTACCTAGAAAGTAATAATCAATATATTCGTTTTGCCTGAATAATTACTTGCAAAGAAAATTTGGCTCAAGTAACCGTTTGATAAAAAAAATAGTTCATATTATTAATTATGATAGAAATTATTGGTAATTTTTAAGTCAATTTAAAGCTTCAAATATTGTGAACTTCTGGTATAATTATTAGTACGAAAAATTTAGAACATATTGTATACTATGAGAAAATAGGTACAAATTGATAATACAGAAAATAAATCGAACGTTTTTGGTATCCGTAACCGTAAATTATTTTAATTATATGCAAATTGTGGTAAACTAAAACTTGGTGAACACCAATTACAACACGGGTTTCTTTTTTTATAAAACGCCCTGAATATAAATATATGAATTATGCAATTTATTAAAATTATTATTAAAATAACACAGAGTGGAATATAGAGATCTGTTTTTTTTTCAATTCGTATATGGATGTTTTCATTATTGAAAACTTATGATAACAAGATCAAATGTTAAGAATATAGTAACAATTAAAAAAATTTGCTATTTGGAGCACTAATTGATTTTACAAATAATTCAATTATTTACACGTGAGTTTTGTTATGCAAAATAATTTGCATAATATTTTCATTCTACAAAGCAACATAACGCCTATGTATAATTATAGAACATACGATATTTGAATTGAGGTTGCTTTTATATACCTCCAAGTGAAATCTTTTTGAAAATGGGTTTCAGTTTCACCAATGTTTATCAAGTTTGTTCTGTTAAGTTTCAGAGTTTCCCTATAAATAGATTTTTTAATTGCATGTCGTTTCATGGTTCCTTCTACCTACCTTAAATGACTATTGAGTATTCACTTCAATGTTCTATTAATTTTTCTTGTAGTAACCCATTTTCGGATATTCAAATTTCAAATATGGTTGCACATTAACCAGGGCAATGGGGAGGAAATGTTTGCAAATAACTGCTGAATTATACAAAAAAAGCTCAATAGATCATTAAATTGAAACTCCACAGTCATTTATGATAAAAGGGGCTAGGAAACGACGGAAATAATAAGATATTGATTATTATGCAAAAGAATTACTAGATTGGGGATTCTGTTGTTTTTTTTGTCAATTGACCCCAAATTTTGACTTTAAATTTGTGCAACGGTAATAACTATACTGGAAAACATATGCCGCACATTAAATAGAGACAACTTTTATATTTTGTGGATCTGGTGTTATTAACTTCCCGTAGGGTAAGTTATAGTAATGGCAAAAAAATCGAAAATGAATATTTTTATATATCTTTACTTTTCAGAAGTTTTTGAACATTTTGGCATACTTTAAAAAATGGATGTAGGGGAAAGTCCCCAAGTGGCGGACACCTAAGGTTATTTATAAATAAATCAAAAAATATTTTACGAAATGTTTATTAAATTATGATTTATGTTAGATAATAAAGTTAGAAATCAAACTAAATTAACAAAACCGCAATCTTTGCTAAAAATAATTAATACTATCAATCAAACTTTGCTATCAAAAAATATGATTTTAAATAGTGGCACCTAGACCGGACATTTCAAAATAACAACCTGCATTGATCACATATGTATCGCATATGTGTGTGTGTGTGCGGATACAAATTTTCGTCGACGATTTCGAGAACACCGATCAACCCATTTGAATAATTCAAAAATCATTCGATTCGTATTGATAAGGGGACGCGCTGATTAGTTTTTGGCGAAGGCAGTTCTAGCCGTTCCGTAGATACGAGGCAAAAAGTACAAAGAACGCTAACTCCGTTTTTATGAGAACGGAGCGTTCGATTTTAATAATTCAAAAAACATTTTACTTGTATTGACAAGATGAAGAACTGATTGAATTTTTGGGAAAGCTGGTTCAGCGGTTATGGACTCTCAATAAAAATAAGTAAAAAGAATGTCATTTGGCAGTCAAAAATGTTTATTGGGTGGGCGTATGTACATCAAATTATCAGATATTTTATAGAGATTTTAATAATGTGTACACATTATGTGTAATTTTTTTTGGGTTCCGTGCGGTTTACACATTTTGTGTAAATTTTTAATTACGGTACGGGAAGTTCCAGCAATTTGCCTTAAGGCACGATGCCATGCACCCCACTAGTCTTATATTATATTATATTCAATATTTACACAATTCTAATTCTATTTTTTTTAATAAATAAATGCTCTGAGTGATGAAAAGGTTAAGAAAAAGAGTCGCATAAATGATTTCATAAAAATATATGCTTTACATTCATTGCCTTCCGTGATTTGTGCGTTCTGTATGTTTAGTTTAGAGCTCCCGATTATTTTATTCTTTGTTACATACACACAAATGCAAGGTACATATAATATATACACACACGCACACAAATATATTGGTATATATATATACCAATATATATATATATATATATATATATATATATATATATATATATATTGGTGTTTCTACATGTTTCCATTATTACTTCAGGCTCGTCACATAGCGACAAGGAAGCCGAATTAACGCCCGAAAAACTGCCTCGAGCGCCTAGCGAGCGAAAACGCAAGCGGAAGCTGGATGACAGCGGAGCACAAAACTCTAACTCTATTGTGACGTCGGCGGGCGGCGTTGTAGGACCTCTGGTTGTGTCAGGTGGCATTATCCCCATCGCCTCACAACCGCTGGTCGGACAGCCGCTAACGGGAGTCACTAAAGGATCTAGGGGCCAAAATAATGATAACAAGAAAATCAACGAATACTTCCAAAAACATCCCGGTAGCAGTCCGATTAGGCAGCATACGCCGGGCGCCAAGAGTCCCTCGCCACAACAAGCCTATCCAATGGTGAGCGAAGAGTGTAAAAATCGATCTTTTTTTAATTAATTAATTGCTTACTATCACGATTTTCTATAAATGACACTAACTGGAAATAATGGAAATATACCGCTATAAGCTTTATATATTTACTAGTTTTCATACTATTTTCAATATCATTTTTATAAATAAAACATCAAGCATTTAAAGAATATTGACGATTGTCCGATATCGCTATTTTATTGTGATATATTTTAACAAAAAATTGAAATCCAGTTATAAAAACTTTAATATGATCATATTTATTACCTAGTCTATTTTTCATTTTGATCATGTTATATAATTTACAATTTTTCTTTTGTCATTGCAGTTTCCTCCAAGTCCGCAACCGTTGCTGCCTTCAGGAGTTCCTGGACCACCAGATTTTTATAAATCTGCTCCTGGGCGGCCTCAATCTATCCCAAATCTTGCAGTATCTGCAATGCCTCCAATGGCACCCAAATTAATACAGGTATCACTTCATTCTCTGGTTTGTAGTACATAGTTATTTAAATTCTAATTTATATATATTCAGCCTTTTACAAAAATCTTCATTTTTTTAAGTTTAACTGTTAATTATGATCTGCCTGCCTTTACAGACTGATTTAACTTGTCATCGAATACAGGAATTTGAGACGCAAACTTCTACGGACTTGGAAGCTCGTAACAATAAAATTGAAGATCAGAATAGGACCATAGAAGAGCAGAAACAACAAATTGTAACTCTGCAAAAGGTTTGCATAGCATTTATATAGTAGAAAAGCTAGATCTTCAAATAATTTTTTTATACATTCATTTTTTTTAGGCTTTAGAACAACATAAGTCGCACAGTAATAAATGTGTTGATGTTGTCAAAAAATTATTAAAAGAAAAGTCAAATATAGAAAAGAAAGAAGCGAGACAAAGGTGCATGCAAAACAGGTTAAGGTTAGGACAATTTGTGACACAAAGGGTTGGTGCTACATTTCAAGAAAACTGGACGGACGGCTATGCTTTTCAAGAATTGCAAAGGTGAGTTCAAAGCGTTTATGAGGATTACATAAATCTTAAGATTGAACAAAATATTAGAATATTATTTGAAGAACACTTTATTTTTGAGGCTCCATATATACAATTACATGAGCAGTTAATTTAATATTGCATAAAATTTAAATTAACACATACATTTTACTAAAACTAATCTATTTAAAAAAATGCAGGCGGCAAGAAGAAATAACGGCAGAGCGGGAAGAAATAGATAGGCAAAAGAAATTATTGTCAAAAAAGCGACCTCCAAATACTGACACTAGTCGAAAGAGACATAATTCATCTACAACTGCAGCAAATTTACAACAAACCTCCGCAGGATTATTAAATGGTAGTGAATCTCAGTCACAAAATCAATTTCTGAAACCAGACCCTGTACCAGGAGGATTCTCTTGGCAGGAATATTATGAAAGCGATGAGATCCTCAAAGTGAGTCGCGCGGTAAATTCCACATCTATATATTTATGTTTTGAATATTTGTAACATGATTCATATCCCAGATAAATGCATAATAAATTACCAGATTCATTTCTACTGCAATCATCAAAATAATCAGCATTATTTGCTGCATAAATAATATTAAATAGGGCTTGAAATTTTATGATTTATGAATACTAATTTATCATGAATTATATTTTTTCATAACTTAATGCGATAGATTTCAACATGCAAGTCAAATTTCAGTATATTTATTACAGATTTTTTAGTGTACTTATCTTTTCATATCTTGTAGAATATTAAACTATTATAATTTTCACTCATGAATTTTTTAAATGTAATTTTGTTTCAATTATGCAATTAAAGTAAGAATTATAAATCACAACATTTGATAGTAAATAAATATTCTTTATATATGAAATATATACATGTATTCTGTATTGAGCTAGAAGCGAAAATTGAAACTTTCTGTCTATTCACTTAATTTTAATTGGCTACAAAAATGTTTAAAATTTATGTAAAATCCTTATTATTTTAGTTAAGACAAAGTGCTCTCAAAAAAGAAGATGCTGATCTTCAATTAGAAATGGAAAAGTTGGAAAGAGAAAGAAATTTACACATTCGTGAACTCAAGCGTATTCATAATGAAGATCAATCGCGTTTCAACTCTCATCCCGTACTCAATGAAAGATATTTATTGTTGATGTTATTAGGAAAAGGTGGATTTTCAGAAGTACACAAAGCATTTGACCTTAAAGAACAAAGATATGTTGCATGTAAAGTTCACCAATTGAATAAAGACTGGAAGGAAGATAAGAAAGCCAATTACATAAAGTGAGTCTTCATGAACAATATGATTTTAATTGCAATTGAGCTAATCAAGTAATTTAACTCATCTTTGTATTACAATCTGATTTTGATGTTTTGATACAATGATAACTATATATAATTTTTTTTGTATAACATTTTTTATTTTTTATCAATTATAAATATGTGCTGTTATATATGTGAATTATTTACAGGCATGCACTTCGGGAATATAATATTCATAAGGCCTTAGATCATCCAAGGGTTGTTAAATTATATGATGTTTTTGAAATAGATGCCAATTCATTTTGTACTGTGTTGGAATACTGTGATGGTCATGATTTAGATTTTTATTTGAAACAGGTTTGTAAGAAAACGCATTTGATATCTATTATGCTATTAATAAAATTATAGTTATATTAATAGCATAAATTTTTATATTAAGAAAAATTATCTAACTTATTAAAAAACAAATATTTATAGCACAAGACTATACCAGAAAGGGAAGCTCGATCAATAGTCATGCAAGTAGTTTCGGCATTAAAATATTTGAATGAAATCAAGCCGCCTGTAATACATTATGATTTAAAACCTGGAAACATTCTATTAACGGAAGGTAATGTCTGTGGTGAAATCAAAATTACTGATTTTGGTTTATCTAAAGTCATGGATGAAGAAAATTACAATCCAGATCATGGGATGGATCTAACATCTCAAGGAGCTGGAACATACTGGTAAATTAACTAATCAGAACTAATTACAAATACTCTTTTTTTATTTTTTAACAACCATTTATTCTAGTTATTGAAAAACGTTTTATTTCTAACATTTTTCATTAAATATTGAATACAACTTGTTGAAAAACACATGAATATGATTTAAACGATTTATTATTATTTTATTATTATTTAAATAATTTTAATCTTTATTTGTAGATAAAGTGCAATTTTATCAATTACCTTATCAAACATGTTTGTTTCCCAGGTATTTACCTCCTGAATGTTTTGTTGTTGGCAAAAATCCTCCTAAAATATCATCAAAGGTCGACGTCTGGAGTGTAGGTGTAATATTTTATCAATGTCTTTATGGAAAGAAGCCATTTGGACACAATCAATCACAAGCTACAATTTTAGAAGAAAATACTATACTTAAGGCGACTGATGTTCAATTTGCAAACAAACCCACTGTGACGCAAGAAGCAAAGGTAGACATCTCTATTGATAAACCATAAAATAATACATTTGTCATTAACATATATTAGACTTTAGTACAACAGCTTTGATTTTTGGGCATTATCCAGTTGAAGAATATTAATATTCTAATATTGGAACTAATACTAACAGTTGACTTAGAACTAGAATTAGATAATGCCTTTGTTATAAATATATAAATATTCATTATTTAAGAGTCTTTGACTCGAGCACTTTCAATTCAAACAATTTTTATAAACATAAAAATAAAATATAAAAAATATTTACAAATGAAAAATCAAATGAGTTCTGAGAACAAATTGAAGCTTTTAGTTCTGCAAATTGAAATCATATATATAAAATTATTATAATTATTGGCTTTTAACTTTTCAGAGTTTTATTCGGGGTTGTTTATCATATAGTAAAGAGAGTAGGATGGATGTGCTGTCATTATCAAGACATGAATATCTGCAACCACCAGTGCCAAAGCATGGACGACAGGCACAAGTTTCACAACAAGCGCAGCAGGCCCAAGCGCAAGCTCAACAGAGCTTGCAACATGGACAAACTACTTTCAATGCGGGAATGTTTGGCAACATGAATGCTTCGAGTTCATCTTAGAAGTCGAAAGGGATTCATTGCTGATAGTCATAAAATTCTCCCAAAAGTAGTGTCAACTTGTTATCATACTGTTATAATGTATGTGGAGTACATTTAGCTGAAAGTGCGATTTTTGTGATTCTTTAATAAAACTAATGAAATGGATACTAGTGCTATGAATATTGGTGTGCGGTGGTGTTTTATCAAATCGACAAAATTTGTTCCTGTTTTTATTAGAAGGCTGTCTGAAATGATAGCTTATGTTGAAAAAATTGTGATAATCAATATAGCGTTGCTTTACTGATGAAATGTAATGTTTACATCTCATTTTGCAGTGACTAACTTTTGGAATATTGTAAGTTCATATTAAGGAACAGAGAAAGATTGATATCTTTATCATATCCTGAAGATGTGTTTGAGTGAATGAATTATTTATATTTGAGGACTCTGTGGAATAGTAATATAACTAAGAAAAACGCTCAACCATAGTGTGCTTGCTTAATATTAATTAATTTAAACATGAAATAAAGAAAAGACTTTATAATTGTTATGATCAGTGATTTTTTCATTATGTAGTTATATTAAATTGCAGTTTCAAATATAATAAACTCTTCTTAATTTAATTGTTATAAAAAGTGTAAATTTGTTTATTACAATAACCTATAAAAATTGTAGAAATCAGAATGAAGGAAAGATATTGGCATAGATTTTAATTGAGACAGTGATCAAGTTAAATTATTTATCAAAGCTAATAATAAACTTCAATTAAACAAATTTTCTTACTACATATAAATAATTTTGATAATTGATCAGTATATATGTCTAAAGATGAATTAAAACACAAACTTTAAATAAAATATTTCAATCTAAAAGAATCAATCCAATGTGTAACTTATTAAATTCACTGTTCATATGTATTTTATTATCATAACAATAGTGATTGCGTAATATATTGTTCCTCTACAGACAGTGTATGATATCATTTTTTATTTATTTTACAAAAGGGACAAGGATAAAATCAATTAGTTTTCATGCTGATAATTTTCAATAATGTTTCAGGTGATAGCAAAGAATATCGTTGCTTTAATTTAAATTCAATGTCATTACAGCATTTATCTGATTTTAATTAAATATTATAATCTTCTAGTTGTGCGTGTGTATATATTTAATACTAGAAAACAATTTTATTAATTAAAAATGAAATTTTCTCATACTAAAAATTATTTATGTTGTGATCGAATATACCAAATTTGAGAAAATTTTATGCATATATCAGAGTGCAGTTCATATAGTATTCTAAATGATTTAATTTGAAGATTTTAAATTATAGTAAATAATATATACACACACAAGTCTTAGCTAATTTATATATTTATAAATTGTTATAAAGCCAGTTTATTATTTTTATACAATGTTTTATTTATAAATACCATATTTTTTTGGTACAGTTTCTGTTATGAATAATTCTGTATTTTGCAAGCTTCGTTTTTTCTTTTTATATACATGAATGTGTAATGAACATTACAACGAATCTGTATTACAGAAACATCGACTTATTATATAAACAATATGCTATAAATGTGTTTATTTGATATTTGAATTATCTATTAATTTTTTGCCCAAGTCTTAAAATTATCAATTTTGACAATTGATGAAAGTATATTTCTCAACATTAAGTCTTTAATATCTCATATTTTTGAGAAATGTTAAAATATTTTGATAATGAAATTAATTTTGTCAACAAATCCTTTATATTGCCTTGTACATTTTTCTAAATTTGTAATTTAGTTATTCAACTATTTATCAAAATTACTATGTGATGTTAGATTTAACCTTATTATTGTTTTTCAGAAATGTGATATTTTTAAAATAGGTAAGTTTGATATTTTATATCTATCAATACTACTCTCCATAAATGTTATTTTATTATCATTTTTATATCAATTCAAACAAAAGGTAACTGCTGCTTTATAAAAGGCATTAAAAAACAATCCAATTAAAGAAACAATTGTTAATAATTGAAATTTTGAAGCACATATTTCAGTTAAATTTTATTTTGGTTCAGTCCAATATAAGAAAATTCTTCAGAGGTTACATTGAAAATTGAGATGAACTTAATGTTCAAACTGAAATATCAGATATTTGGTTGTTCATGTAGGTATTATATAAAATCTCAATATTAACATTTATATTGTTAATATATTATATATTATTTTACTAAATTGTGACAATATGAACATGCTTTTTTTCATGTAGTACACACTTTTACAACATTGGATAATATTTAGGATTCAAACTGATAGCACCAAATCTTCATGCCAGATTATGTACTAGGACCAGCTTTAGAAACACAAAAACAACATCTTGATGATCTATTCAAATAATATTTTTGGCTGCTGAATAAGTTCTTTGAGTTTTTGCTTTATGATACATAAACAAGTCTGGACACATGAAACATTCAGATCAATCTGCATGTGATAAATGAAAGCTCAAGACAGGCAATAAGCACCCTAGGTAAGTACCTAAGTGATTATTTCATCAAGACAGCAAGGTATTATTTTGGTTTTTTGTTGTTAAGTAACTATTTAATTTTTTTACTTTTTTTTGTACATTGGGATATTTCCACCTGGCTGGCTATCCGTTTCTTTCTAGAAGCAATATTTGTTCCAGAATCAGGTCTTTGTCCGCAATGTTTCGATTTTTGCGATTTGTCTGGATTCAAAATGAATCTTTGCTATTACTTATTAATAAAATTGGAATAACCCATCTATTATCATATAATAGGCGATTATGCTTATATGGAACTATATGTTGTAGGGAGAAATTATGATTATTTTTTGGTCAATAACTAATAAGTTATCTAAGTGTGTTTTTTCTGGTCTAGAATATCAATATTCCTTTTAGTCGAAAGATAGGAAGGTTTGGTTATATAGTTAATAATTAAAATTAATTAATTTAAATGCGTTATGATTGTGTATGTAGCATAATTATACTGTTTATTATTTATTTATACTGAATATTATTTATTCACATCTTTTCAACAAGATACAAAAAATTTAATGGAGGATGCTAATTTTTATGAATCTCTTTATTGCTGTATAACACTTTGCCTGTACGTACTGTACCGTCTCGTTTTTGGTTTTTCTTCCATAGAGGCTTTTGCCAGATAGTAAATATCAGTTAATGGCTTAGGAATGAACTGAAAATTCAAAATCGAAGCAGTTACGATTAAAGACATTGGACCAATACTAAAATAGCTTGATAAAATTACCTTTAGTTTGCTGACACAGAATTCGAATGGAATGTTTCCTGTGCTTGGGTCGACGGCGATGCGCATAAATCTGATACTTCTTCCTAATTTGAATGAAACAAAAATGCCATTAACAATATTCGCACGAAAACTTTTTTAATTGGTTGTTTAAAATTACTTAAGTTAAATTTATTATACTTATTATTAACAATTAGACAGCGTTATACATTTTCCATACCCTATTCTACAGTAATGTCGATCAATTTGGCAAAAAATTCAACTCGTTCATATTGATTCATACACTTCTGTCTTATCAATTACATAATTCAGTCGTTATGGCAATTTTTAGGCAAAAAATCAACTATTCATGATTCATATTATTTTTTTGACTTTTCATGTTATTCAATTACACAAAAAATCGAAATCATAATTGTTTGTATCGATTTACCATGCTTTTGGAAAACGGCTTAGATAGTTTGGGTATCACAAAACCATTACAACCGTATTTTTAGTAAAAAAACATTGATGGACATTTTTCGTCACTGTTGCAAATGCATGTATTACCTCTGATAAAACTTCTCCTTGCGTTGTGAGCAAATTTTTTAAATAATCGGGTGTAAGGTAGCCCTTATTTTCAACGTCTATTGCTTGAAATCCTCTCAAAAGTAATTCTGGAGCAGCTGGTTTGAATCTGTTTTTCATGTATAAAAAGAAAAAATTAATAACTTTAAGGCGGTAACAAATTACAATTTTATAAACATGGGATTTAAACCCTTTTTGGTAGTTTGTAGTTTTTTTATAACATAAAATATAAACATATTTACTGTTACTTTGCTTATTATGCGGAATAAATGATAATACAATTTAATTTTTTTACATTTTTTAAATTAATATCGCATTAATGTAGAATTTTAACTTCCCGAAGGGGAAGTTTATGTTTTCATAAAAGAATCCGATTCGCTCATACTACCGAATCGAATTTTAAAAATCAAAAACTGTTCGAAAGATATTAGTTGAGAATGATATTTATTAGTTTTAGGTGAGGTTGGAATGATACTGATTACTTTTAGGAGAAAATATACCGAGCCATATTCTTGTAATTAACTGTTAAAAAAAAAATTATGCCGATTTTTATGGAACTTTTTTTTGGCGATATATATCATGGTCAAAGTTTAATTTAAAAATTCATCAAAGTTTGAGAAAATGAGTAGTTTTTTTGACGTTTTTTAAAATTTAAATTAGACTATTCACTTGGTATAACGATAGAGTATACTTGGTATTAATGAACATACTAAACCATTGAAGTCCTACGGAAACTGGTTCAATTATAAAAATTATTGATTCGTAAAAATTTGCTTATAGAAAATACTCCGAGCTAACGTGTTCGTTCGTTTTCAATTATAGGCAATAATACTCATTACAGGAAATTATACTCATAAATTAATTTATTACAGGCAATAATACTAATTACAGGCAATTATACTCATAAATTAATTTATTTTTTATTGCTTAAGTCGATTATTTACACATATCGGGAAGTTCATGTAACTTGCCTCAACTCAAGTTACAAAATATACCAATAATAACTAGTTACGTTTTAGTTGAAATTATAACAGATACATAAAGAAAATTGAAAATATTATTTATTTTAAGCAGCAGTCTTGCAATACCTTCCAAGTAATATCATTTCAAACATGAATGGCAAGAAATGGGCCAAATGAACAATGTTCGGAATTCACGTTCTGTACATTTTGTTGCGATGATTGCAATTCTTCTTCCGTCGGAACACATCCTGAAGTAAAACCATGAATCGGGTCAAATATATTTATTATAAATATGTATATAAAGCTTTAATTTTTTGGTTTTGAAAATATAAAGCTTATCTAAAAGAGTT